TGGCATCGGCCTCGAGGTTGGGACGGGGGACGGGCTTGGCCTGGTCGACGATGTCTTGAAGCTCTTCCTTGGACGCCATAGTTGCGGTGATCTCGCCGATCTGCTTGAGCGTTGCCTTGTCCGCGGCGGTAGACTTGCGGGGTGAAGCGCCAGCCTTGCCCTTGTTGGGGTCTATGGCGTTGAGTGTGACAGACTCGATGGCCTTCTTGGCCTTCCTCGTACCGAAGGTCTGACCAAGATCGGTCTTGAGCGCGTAGAAGCTCTGATTGTAGTCAGTAACAGTATACACAGTATACGAAGACGACAGAGACGAACCTGGTAGTCTGCTGGCGCAGTCATCGCCTCATCCGAGGCCTGCTTGGCTCTGGCTGTGCCCCGAACCACCATCTTCTTGGCCTCCACCACTTCCAGCTTGCCCGTCTTCGGGTCAAACACTCCAATGTAGTGCTTCAATGACTTTTCGGAGTCGCCGTTGCCGTCTTCTCTAGCCGTGTAGTCCATCGTCTGGTGAGTATTCGAGTGCAGAACGAGGTCCTGCGCCACTGCGGGGGTCTTCTGTTTGCGCCTGCCTGACAATTGAATGTCTGACTTGACGTATGGGGTAAAAGGAGTGTTCTTTGATATCCTAATGCCAGGGGAAGAGGCTGCAAACTGTCAGCGAATGGTGAATAATCGCAGGGAGACGATCGGACGTACCAACGACAGGTGGGCAGAGCTTGGCCTGTGAAATCGAAGAGATGGTGAATTTTGACGGCATGTCGGTAGCCTGCTTCTTCTTCGACTTGGCGGCGGCGTCGCCGTCTCTCTTTCTCTTTCTTCCGTTGGCGTCCGCCATCGTCTCTGCTGTCTCTGGGTACTGGCGGGTGCGGACCGGTGGTAGTTAGACGTCTAGTGGTGGGCTTGCGAGTCTGCTGGAAATTTTCTGGACGCCTCCCAAAGAAAAAAAGTCCCTTGTCGGCAAACCGGCGTTTATCCGTGCGACCACCTTGACAGGCAGGCGGTGTGGAACAAGCTGGACGCTACCGGCGCATGCACCGACCCCACTTGGAGCTGCGCGAACGTCACAGCTCTGCGCACTCAATTGACGAAAAATGCAGCTCACGCGAGAAGAAATTGAAGCCGAATATTGTTGTTGCGCATCATCTTCATCAATAGCATCGGGCTACATGAATTGATATAGTTGTTGTGTACTAGATGCGGCGCTCAATGAGTCGCGCGCATGGCATAGAGTCTGCCATGGCGGCTCGCAATCGCAAAGCTGGAGCTGAAGGTCTGTGATGGCGACAACTGGTGAAATGATTCCCATCACTATGTCTGATTTCAAAGAGCCCAGCAAGAGCTCGAACAGTATCACGGAGGCAGGCAGCACACATAACAAACAGGGAGCATATTGTGGTTTCACTGATGATTTGATTGTGTTCGAAGTCATTGTGACATCGTAGTTTCAGCTGTCCTAAACACTGCATCCTCATCGTAAAGTCATCCCGACCGCAATTGGCAGGTCCATTCTTCATCGAATCCTCATCAAGGCCGCCGGAAGTGCGTGCCTGATCATCGTCATGACCCCAAGTCCCATAGTTCCAATTCGTAGTGTGAATATAGACGTCCCGGTAAACGAGACAGACTGAGTCGCTGGTGACAGAAGCTGGCGAGTGCAATTCCGTTATGCTTATCGCGTGATGGTGGTTGGTGTCGTCATCTCAGAAGATGGTCATGGTCGAGGGGAGGGTGCGAGTTGTTTATTTGCTACAAGGGTTGTTAGCCAGGCAGTTTCGCGCTAGTGATGTGTCGTGCAACTTACGAGCGAGCCCTCATCTTTCTTCTCTTGCGCTTGAGACGGCGAACGCGCTTCTTTCTCCACTTGGCTCTCATCGTGACCACGAAGCTGGTGACCGGTTAGTCGATGTCGCCAGCGAAATGCGACCGGGCCAATCGGGCAGCCGACAGGAGCGCAGGCAGCTTCGCGAGCTCTGCGCCGCCGTCGTGCCGATGACCGTGGGGTGGGGGGCGCTGTACTTACTTGTCCTTTGAGATGAGAGGTGTTGGTGATGATGTTCGTCTGGAGGACCAGGCCTGTCGGGGAAGTTTTAGTGGTCGAGCTCTGTAGGGCAGGCAACCCTTCCGCGTCACGTGTGCCGATTTACGCGGGGGCTTCTGGAAGGTTGGTGTGACCTCACCCAACTCCACTTCCAATTCGTGCCCCTCCAGGCTCCACGTCAGGGCCTGCCCGCTGCGTGGAGCTTGGACCAACGTCGAACCTGCCGGCACACCAGGGAAGTCAGGTACCTTCTACGGAAGCCACTACCTTCCGGGTGGGCAACCGGCGACGGTGTGGGTGGTGCCTTCCGGGCCTGGTGGATACCTGCCGACACAAGCCGATGGGGGCCAGGCAGGACAACATCAACTTTACCAATTGCATGTTGCGACGGACGGCACGCCTCAATGGCAACCCTTGTGTATTGAATGCAGGATTTCGAATGTCACCTATAGAGTTAACGTCGCCGGGCGCAAATGGCAATCGACAGCAGTTCCCTGCTGCTTTGACAGACTACTCAGCGAGGACGGGCATATATGACATATCACTCCCGTTCATTCAAAGGAAAATTGCTTGCAGCTTTCTGAAGTGCCATGTGGCAGGCAGTCTTGTTTAATTATATAGCAAATTATATAGCAAATGAGGCATCCATACTATAGTAGCAAAATCAGGACAATCGCTCGTCTAAGCCTGTCTGCATTCGGTCCATATCTGGAGAGCTGGGGCAATGCCTTGGTATCTGCCAACCTGAATGGCTGCATAACTATGCTCGTATATGTCCTCATATCTCACCCAGCGTAAGCAGAGCATCCTTCCTTGTACTGGGTGGAAACTCTAACGGTAGCAGCTCTGGATATCCCTGCTCTTCTGCTCTGAGTAACTGCTCAAACAGACCTTTGACTTCCATTGCCAACTTGCCATCTCGGGCTTCTAATTTCTCCAGGTCCGCTACAGCAACCTTTTTCTCCTCCGCCGTGAGAGGTCTTTCCCTTTCCCTTCTCAATGCTTCCGCAACCTTGCCACTAAGCTTACCTATATCAGTCTTGTCATCAGAGAAAGCAACCATGTTTCCCCGCCTCACAACCAGCACCCGGTCAACGTAGCCCACCTCATCAATCCACTCCGCAACACTCATCAGTCCAGCGTATGAATCATCATGAATCTTGACCGGCGTGAGCCTGATGGGCAGATTGCCGCTCCCGGCCTCCGGCAATCTCTCATAGAACCGGTGCAGGATCCCCAACCGACTCAGCGCTGCGGGGACAGCCATCACGACGACTTCGACGCGGTACCCCGCCTCCCCAAACATCCTCGCCAGGTCGCGAAAGTCGTCTGGGTGCCGACACGCGCTCTCCAGGAGCACGTCCAGCTTGCGGGAGATGGCCTCCGCAGCGGCCATAGCGAGCCATTTGCGCGCGTCTGGGCCGGTGGCGGGCGATGCGTGTGCGGGGTTCGGAGAGGAGATGAGAGTCAGGTAGGACGGATGGTGGGCCTTGTAGACGTCTGCAATGAAGTGCGCCGGGGGGTTGATGCGGTTCATGGCGGAGAGGACGGCCGGGGCGGTGCGGGTTTTGCCAGCGCCGGTTTGGCCGACGATGAGCACCGCTAAGGGCCGGGTTCGGGTGTGGTGCGGGGTTAGTGTGACGGGCAGGTCGGCGGGGAGGATCTGTGTCTGGAAGATTTCTTTGGAGACGGGCTCGGGGAGGATGTGGTGGGATAGATCTGGCGGAGGCGGCATCTTGGCGGTAGGGGCAGTTGATGATGTGACCTTTGATGTTGTGTCACTGGCTTGTGTAACCAGGGCTGGCTGGATGTCTGCGGGGTGTCCTCGGGGTTGAGATTACTGATTGATGGGGTGGCTGTTGGTCTGATAATGTACACAATTTGCGGGACTGGTTTAGGTATGTTGACAGAAGTTCTAGAACAGCCTTCGATGGATGTAACTGAGTCTAGCTTCTAAAATTGGAAGGTGGTTGAGATGACAGCTCAGACGGCGGGCTGAGAGCTCCCCCACGCGATCTCGGCCCCACTGATGAAGTCATCGACGAACTGGCGGCAACATAGCTCCGCTCCGTCGGCAACTCAACTTTAACGTCACCTCAAGACGCTGAGATATTCTATCGTTCGTGCCAACGCCCTCTTTTTTCAATTAAATTCACAAGTGGAAGTTTGTTGGACAGAAAATCCCACATGTTTGTTCACCCAGTCTCTGACCCGAGAGTCTGGTAGACCCTGGACCGGGGCCGAGATCGGCAGCTCCAGGCCCCTGTAGGTCGGGCGATTGGTCTTGCTGGCTAATCTCTACCTACCTAGTGATAAGGGTCTTTTTTCTCAGTCTTGATGGGACTACTTGATGTTCTTTTTGTGCTTATTAGCACTTTTATTATTTTGTAGATGCATGTTCAATGTACCTTCGATAAAAAAGGTAGATCGGCGGATTGAATTTCAGTCGTGTAAGTCCGGCCTTGGCATTCTGATCCTGAACTTTAACGACGCTGGAATTGTGAAAACACAGTGAAGTCTTCCTTTTTTTTGGATTACATGCTTTAATCATCCCTTCTTTAAATTCTTCTAACGTTATCCAAAGACGGCAAGTGAAAATTATCGTTTGGCGTTCAACATGAGGAAGTCAGTGCCACAACCGATCAGCTTCGCTGACCTCCGACGCTCAATTCCGACGACTTCCCCTCCTCTCACCAATGTGGATCAATACAATCATATCTCCATCGCTCAACTCCATGATCATTTCCACGGAAGCCAATTGCGCAATCGCTGATTCGGATTGTACCATGCCCATGCTGGGGCCGTGGAACAGCGGCGAGGGACATGATTTCCGTTAATCGCGTGCAGCCAAGAGCTGGCCTGGGTATATCTTCGGCACAACCCAGCGCGGTTCGTTAATTTGGGATTCTCTCAAGCATCTCACTTTGTTATTCTGGTTTTCATTGACTGGTCTGCCGTCACTATGGAGGAAGAGAAGAAGACCGACACCGTCGTCTACGACCCGTCCAACCACAGCCCATCCGAGGGCGAGTCGTGGACTCAAGATGAAGAAAAGGCCGTCGTCAGAAAGTCAGTCCTTGTCAACTCTTGACAGCGATGCCGAACCACTGACATCAGCTCAACCAAAGACTCGACTGGTATCTCATGCCCCTCCTCGTCGTCGGCTTCTACGTCCTCCAACTCGATCGGACCAACATCAGCAACGCCCTCACCGACACCCTGACGCAAGACCTCGGCATCACCAACAACCAAGTCAATATTGGCAACCAGCTGATGCTGGCCGGTATTGTGATTGCGGAAATCCCCTCCAACCTGATTCTGCAGAGAGTCGGCGCCCCGGTCTGGCTCACGCTACAGGTCGCCATCTGGGGCACGATCGCTCTAATGCAAGCTTGGTGCATAAACGTTCAATCCTTCTATGCAACAAGAACGCTCCTGGGACTGTTTGAGGGAGGATTCATCCCCGGAGTTCAGTACATGCTGGCTTTGTTCTACAAGAGAGACGAGCTGGCGCTGAGAACATCAATATTCTACTTTGGCAACTATTCGGCCGCCGCGACTGGTTCCTTGATCGCCGCAGGAATCCTGCAAATGGGCGGCAAGGGAGGGCTCGCCGGATGGCAGTGGCTCTTTGTCAGTAAGTCGAACCCCTTAAAGCCATCCTCGTTCTCACATCCAGATCTGACAACGGCTCCAGTCGAGGGCACATTTACCCTCCTCATCTTCTTCGGCTACGTCCTCCTCCTCCCCCGCAGCCCAAAGCACACGCGCCCGATCCATGGCCGCTTCGACCTCTTCACCGATCGCGAGCGCACCATCCTTAGCACCCGCATCATTCTCGGCGACGAGTCCAAGGGCGCGGACAAGGCCGAAATCACCCTGAAGAGTCTCCGCGAAGCCTTCGTCGACCTGCGCCTGTGGCTGCACATGTTCCTCAACATCCTCAGTCTCACCCCCAAGGGCGGCCTCGCCATCTACGGGCCCACGATCATCAAGAACCTCGGCTTTTCCAAGACCAACGCCAACCTGCTCAACGCCGTCGGCAACGTGCTCGTCATCATTCTGTCCTACACGCTGTCCGTCGCGTCAGACAAGACACGGCTGCGTGGGCCTTGGTGCATCATGGCTTTCGTCTGGTCCATTGCCTTCTCCGGCGCGCTGTGCGGGCTGCCTGTCGGGGCGAACAGGTGGGTGCAGTATGCGCTCTTCACGCTGCTCACTGGGGGCAACGCCCTTTCGCAGGCGATCAACGATGCTTGGCTGAACATCAACTCAACCAAGCCCAGCAATCGCAGCGTTGGACTGGCGATGGCGGTGATGGGGAGCAATCTCGGTGGCCTCGCCGGGCAGCAGCTTTTCCAAGAGTCCGACGCTCCGAGGTATCCCAAGGCTTTTCTCGCGATTCTTTTGCTGTACGGCGCTTCGATCCCCAACACTTTGGCGTTGATGTACACATACTGGAGGGCCAACCGCAAGATCCAGACCAGCTCAGATGAGAACAATGGCGTTGTAGGCGAGAAGCGCTTTGATCTATGACCATCTTTGTACAGACTGCTTTCATAGGTATAAAACCGGGGCACACAGATAATGACTCGAATTCTTTCCGATGTTTTGCGGAATACCCATCGAGTCTTTGTCGAGTCCGTCGAACCCCTGAAATAATGGTTTAACATAAAGAACACAACAGCGTTGATCAAGCCAACCGCTAAGAATGTTCATAGTTCATTATTGTTGAGTATTGATTGTCAAGAGAATTGTCTCCATTGTCAACGCAAGCTGCCGCGATATTCATGTAATATAGATAGCCAGGAGTCCGTAGTTGCGACAATTTTACCAACAACTCAATCCAACCAGAAATCGATCATTAAGAAGACAAAACAGACCGTACAACTAATCATGTGCCTCAACATTAAGTACTTCTGCGCCTCCTGCCGCCAGCCGATCTCAAACCAATCCGCCGACACCGGCGAAGCATGCCAGTTCTCCCTGACCCAAGACATCAGGTCCGCCAACTACGAAGCCAACCACGCGGGCCTCATCTTCCGCGAATCCCTCCCCCTCCCCCACGACCGAGCCCTGGCCATCGGCCACACTTGCCCGACGCCCGGCTGCGCCTACAACCCGACCACGCGCTTCACGACCGGCAATGACCCCGAGTACGGGCCCATCGCCCGCTGCCCCGGCTGCGACAACATCATCTCCGTCACCACGCACAACCTCTCCAACGCCATTATGGGCGGCCTGCAGCGCTTCATCGCGCACCGCGCCGACGCCCGCGTGCCCGTCCTCGCCCCATCGCTGTGGGCGGGCTACCACTGCGGCAGCGGCACCAACGGCTGCCTCTGGACCGCGGAACAAGGTTTGATCCAGGACAACCGTCTGAATGCGATCCGGCAGTTCATCAACAACAACCCCCAGGGCGCCGCAGCACCCGACCAGGTGCTCGGTCCTACACTCCGTTGCGTTGACAGCGTCCGCCCCCCCTTTTTGCCGAAATTACGCACGCATAATCCCTGTATATACATGAAAATTTGCCCAACGCCACGTAGATATTCGTAGTACGGCAATTGACCTATTCTGATGGCTTCAATTGATCTATTTCTATTGAATCTCATTATCTGAGGGCATCGTGATGCCTCCTAAACGCCGCCGCGCGGCTCGGCAGGCGGATGATGACCCTTCTGGGCATCGTCCGTCACCCATCGCCAACGGTACGCGGAAACAACGACGTATACAACAACTGGCACAGGACGCCGCCAGAGATCCTCCTCAACGCTCTGCCTCGCCGTCGATCAGGATCGTTACGCCCGCCGAGAGGGCTCGCCGGGCTGCCGCCGCCGAAGAGGCCGCCGAGGAGGCCGCCGAGGAGGTTATCGTCGCCGAGGCTGGACCCGAGACTAATGATTTGGTGGCGGCTGAGTCTACATCGCGAAGAAAGCGTGTACTTATAGCCCCTCCGTCATCACGAAGAGCTCCAAAAGCGTCCTCTCGCCAAAAAGCAACGACAACGCAGAGGAAGCGAAAGAAGGATCCGCCGCATACGATCCGGCTCCGAAGTACTCTGCCTTCGTCGATGCCACCGTTTCGACCAGACTCGACCCCAGTTAACCCAACCCCTCGTCAAACCACTCGATTTGCGGACGATACGCCTACGGCCCCTCGCCATAGCGCTGATGATACGTTTATGTCGTTCCACGATGTATTTGAAGAGGAGGACGATATGGGTAACGAGGAACCAACTCTGCTACAAATCCAGGTTACCCGTGGCCCAGCGCTCAAGGGTAACGGTTTACCTGTTCTCGATCTAACCATCGAGAGCATCGCGTATAACAGATTCAGTATTGCTCCTGTATTAGATGCGAATAGTAGAGACTGGGAGGCAGACAGCGGCGCCCAACTTGAGGCAGAAGTGGCTCACTCGTATATTGTGAAGAAGGCCAATATCGCTGTTGTCGTTGCTTGGAGGAAGCCCACCAACGCATCTAAACCAACACCAATCTTCACTCGGGTCTATCCGTCTACTGGAGGGGTCACTTGGCCAAGTATTCCATGGGTTGATATTGTCCCCTCTCTTGAACAAGCTGAAGAGAGGGGTGAAGTCCACCTCACCGTCAAGTGGCAATACAGCGCCGTACCAATCTCTGGTGGTATAGTGACTGGCGTACGAACGCCTCGAAAAGGTGGCCGAGCAGGCGTTTCAGCCGGCATGCAAGAGGCGATCGATCGTGAGGCTAACGATCCTGCAAACGTCGAGCGTCGGAAGGAGGGTATGCACAGACAACTTCTCCGTACGCACATCTGCCCAGAGTACCAGAGATGTAAGAATAGTTCGGGCGACGAGAAGTTCAACTGGTGCTATATACTAGGCCAGAAGCACTACAAGATCAAATCTCACCATATAGAGAAGTGGGCGAAGGCTATTATGACTGGACAGGCTGGCGTTGACAATATGGAACCACCTAAAGAACTGCTTGGTGAGATTCTTCACGACCAGTTTATAGAGGATCAGAAACGCCAGGGCAAGAGAAGTAAGAATATCGTGGAGGTTGATGATAACCAGGAGACGACAGTGATGACGGAAGAGAAGGCTGAAAATGCCGCACTTCCATCATCAGGGTCAAGATCTGGCCTAACCAACGCCAACAGCAACGCCATCGTCAATATATACGGCAACGCGGGGGCGCCAGATCGTCATCTTCAATATCCTAACCCATACGTACAGCTGCCGCCGCCGGCGCCGCCGCCGCCGGCATATTGGCCATATGCGAACATCTCACAGTATTCGTTGCCAACTCTTCCGCCATTGAACCTTCCAAGCACTCGTCAACCAAGTATCGCACTCCCGATTCGTTCGTCCTCGCCAGTGGTACCGGATTCGCCTCGAAAAGCTCTAGATCAAGTGGCCAGCTTCATCAAGTGGTTTATATCCGTCCGCGGCAAGCGATATAACGTCGACGAAGGGTTCAGAAAGAAGCTACAGAAACTGCGATCAGTAGACAGTAGCTTGCGGGCAATTCGCAAGTTACCAGATATTTGGTTTACTGAACAGGGTTTTACTCAAGATCTTACCGAAGATGTCAGGAACTCGATCAAATCCTTCATAGACAACAGCGCCTACTACGGAGGGCAGTCTGACGCCCTCTCCGACGTGGTATCTCACTCTGAACTTCATTCAAACCATCGAGAGTCAGAAGGAGATGTTTATACAAGAATATACGCTGGATTGCCAGGAGGGACGGCGGCGGCGCCAGTTGAAAACTCTGCGGCGCTAGTTTCAGGCGAGTTGGGGTCATCCCGACATATCGACGCCCTAGTGCCACGTCAATCCATCGAGCAAGAGATCCGTGGTACGCCAGTTGAAGTTGGTCGACGTGGTGAGTGTATATAGAGCTGTTTACTGTCGAATATGGCTAACTTTGTAGGCGTTTCGGAACTCTTTGGTTTCGTTTCGTCACCACTGCTGTCAGCGTCGCAGATGCTGCCCACGCAGTTACAGATCGAACAAGACGAAATCGAGCAAGGCGATGAGGACAATCAGATTGAAATCTCGAGTGATACGTCGTCAACAGAGACGTATTACTCGGAGGAGGATAACGAAGAAGAGTGATACAGCAAGAGTGGTGTGAAGTTTGACTGTATGCGCGATTTTTTTGCATGACGTGTTCAACCACGGAAAAGTCTACCCATAGCCGTAGATTCAACACTGCCGCTCTATACGTATAAAAGCAATAGAATTACTGTTATTTTGGATCTGCAAACAATACACTTCGGTCCATCCCGATACTGGTTAGGGGCAGTTGAAGTCTCTGACTATGGTTGAAGTCTCTGATCGTGATGACGTGTCATCATCACAAATCATCGTCACAAGCATCAACAACGCGTTTCAGCCGTTATACAGGCAAAATTGATATGTATACGTAGCTACCGACGAAAACAATGGACGACGGTATATTTTTTGTGTTCTGGTGCGCTTGTGGCTAACCTTTTGGCAATCTTGTTGGCTACAATCATGGATTTGATGATTGACCATCATATGACGACACGATTAAGATCTATTGCGCGCGAACGCACGATGAAAATTTGGATTGCTTGCTGATGTTCAATATTGGCAGCAAATCCTCCCTTTTATAGTTCGATATCGTCAAATATATGCTCTGTCCCATCAAAGTTGACGAACGAATGGCGGAAATGGCCCTCGATCTGGGGTAGACGATACCCAATCTCCATAGCGCAGTCACGTAGATATTCCATGAAATCCCGAGTGTCATTCTCATCGTTGTTCCACTTCGAATACGTCTTCCTGATGTATCGCTTTAGATCGCCGAAGTACTCTTCGATGGGGTTGAAGTCTGGTGAATACGGAGGCAGAAACTCGAGATGGACACCTGATACCCGGCATAAACCCTCGATTTCAGGTATACGATGGCAGGAGAGGTTATCCATAACGATGACAGAGTTTGGCTCTGGAAAACGCCCACATTTCGGGATAAGGCACTCCTGTAGCCAACGAAAGAACCCATCGCCGTCAGTCGTACCATAATACGTAGTCAAGTGTAGGATACCGCTCAACGTGAGGGCTGGCAGGATCTGTACGCGAGAGTTCTGAAACCGATCAATCTCTGCAGTTCGAAACGCAGCAAGCCCTTTCGGCGCCCATCCAGTCCTCCGTATCCCAGTATCCTTATTGACGCCGGATTCGTCGACGAATACCAGCTGGTCGGGGCGATATCGTCGTATACGGTACAAGTACTCGTATCGTAGTTCGTCACTTCGCTGAGCAGCAATAATCTTGGACTTCTTGTTCGTCCAGCCAGCTGAGTTTAACTGTCGACTGATTGCAGAACGACTGATCTGGATCTCGAAGGCTTCAAATAGGAAATCTTGCATCTCTTCAAGAGATAGATCGCTGCGGTACTGCAGTAGTTCAAGAAGCTCTGTACGATGCCATATTTCCATCTTTTGTCGACTCTGGCGGCACCTCTTATATCTCTGCACTTCGCCAGTGATATTACGTCGTGATCTATGTCGTCGAATCGTTCGTTCGGTACAGCCAACGATACTTGCCAGCTCGTGGGTCTTTTGGTCTTCGAATGGCAGTATCATCGCGATCGTCGATAGCTGTAGATTCGATATTCTGGGCGCCATTGTATCGTCGTCGTCGCCCGGCGTCTTTCTCGATGTATCTGATATAATAAACCACGGACATGTACTGACCAGCGGCAAACTGTAAGTAACAGGGCACAATCTATACAGCAGTAGACTCTTGCTCAATATCGTGAACAAGCTGAGCTATCAGGAGAGTCATTAATCCTGTTGACTGCCAAAGCATTTGCTCTGAAGAACCGTATCAAGCCCCTTGGTATGCTTATATATTACTCAGAGCCATACAAACCGTATGCTGAGTAGATATATAAAGTCATACAGCAGGTCTCTTCTTCTGTTCCTCAGCAAATGTCATCTTGATCTCTCATGACGAAAATAGACCTTTTGTTGGTCGAATGGTATGGGGATGAGGTGACTAGCTGGGTTGGCAATGCCTCGATGGGTAGATTGACTGCTACGGAAGCATGAAATACACACCTTATGTCTCTATCGTGTAGTTATACGTTTGAATACTACTGGGACTATAGTGATTGACGGCAATTGAGGTGTTGGTGATGACTTTGACGCGTTTTGCGTGCGATGCAGAGAAATGCGCGTCACAGCGTAAAATTGGCTTTTTTTCATGTTTTTGCATAAGCGGGGAAAAAAAAGGGGGGCGGACGCTGTCAACGCAACGGAGTGTATGAGTTTCCTGCCGGGGGCTAGGCCGCAGAAGATGTGGGGCAGAGGCGAAGTTGCTACCGTCAAAGAGATGCTTGCTGCCGGAAAGGATTATGAGGAGATAGGAGCCAGATTGGGTAGGAGCGATAAGTCAGTTCAAGCCAAAGTAATCCGGATGGCCAAAAAAGAAAACTTGGGCGGGAAGAAGTGGGCAAAGCAGTTGCAGCAGCGAGCTAAGGATGAAGAAACGGAGGTGGAGGAGGGTAATGATGATGATGACGATGCTGATTATGAAGATGAAGATGAATGAAGGCAACGATTCGGCGTTTTGGTATAGAAATTGGAGGAAAACGCATTTGAAAACAGGCAATTATACATAGAACAACGCACTGTATTTCTTTTGTTCATTTTTCATGGTTAGAAGTACATCCCATGGTGAAATGTGATGAGCATTCAGATGACTACATACGATGTTGCTGACCATTCATCTTGCTAGTGGCATCTTCAACTAGTTAAAGACGAACCACGTCTTTCTATATGTAATGATTAAAAGGGGAAGACATTTCTAAGATCCAACCTTGAAGTCCGCAGTGCAGAAATGATCATCCTTGGTAGCATACCCAGCAGTCCAGTCACCAATGCCGTTGGAGACCTGCGCATAGCCCATTTTGCTCGGCCCGCAGTGCCCCTTGACATAAGACCAAGTCCCCTTGATGTCCGCCTTGCCTTTGTAGCCTTGGCTGTAAGGGCAGATGAAGGAGACGACGTTGCCTCGAACGCACTGTAATCTGGGTTAGTCTGTTGCCATTTCCGATCATGGACCCATCAAGAGATAGATCTGGATGCGAAACTATTGGGGGTACGGAAACTGGGAAACTTACGTATGACCAGGCATTCTTTTCCAAGTACACATTTTCCCCGCTGAAGCCGTTGATCAGGCAGGTGTTCGCATCGTCCGCTTCGCCAGTGCTGACGGACCCGGGACCGCAGTCCTCTCTGCGCTTCTCAAGAGGCGACCGCTCTCTGACCGAGGTCGTGACAACTTCATCCCAGGGCTTGAAAGTGGTCTTTGTGTTGCCGGAATCATCAGTGGACACCTGATAGAAACCGTCGGCGACTTCGCGGGCGTCTATGGCGCTCGGCAGGGCTGCCGCGGAGACTGCGGAGACACCGGCCAAGAGAGTAGCGAGGAGGTTGAAGGACTTCATGATGTAAAAGCAGTAATGAGATGGAGTGGAAGAAGATTCTTGGACTTTGGGTTCTGAAATGTTTGATGATCTGTGGAATTGAAGAGACGGGAAAAGAGGAGAAGAGGCCGACACTTTTATAATATCTTCAAGGTCGTGAAAATACAGTGTTGCTGATGATTCATGGTCGCATACATTTCAGCTCAGGGTGTTGTTGTGAGAAATGGATCATCTCGCCCATCGTCGATCATCGCGAGGCACAGTGCACTGCCTCATGGTTGATCTTGCCAAGCCGCGGTCACAATTGCATCCTGAAGGATTCAATGATCTACCGGCCGGCTTATTGAAAGAGGGCTGAGGTGATGTTGTAACTAAATCCTGGCGGCTTTTACTCACGTCTTGGCATACTCAAGGTATAAGCTTCGGGGCCAGTCTTGAGGGCCTTGTCTCACTGCCAAGGATCGTGAGATTCCGAGACCAGTGCCAAACTCACGAATATCATCTTTGGTCGACCTCAAGTCATATATCATAGTTCACGGTAGAAACTAGTGCTTATGCTCGATGCTTCGCAAATGACGCCGGGGACATATCGTCCAACCAGTGTTGCGACAAACCACCACAGCAGTAGTATCACATGACACTAATTGTGTGACCATATTGAAATCTTCCAACTATTTTTTCTAAACATGCATTCATCTTCAATCGGGATATTCTTACCTGCATCGCTCCCGAGTTCCGATGTAACATGCTCGCTCAACCAAGCCGATGATCTGCAAGGCAGCAACAGAACAAGCTTTGAGACCCTAACAAGCGATCTGCGGTTGTCTTACTGCGACCCCCTGTGCACGCAGGCAGCAACTTTCAAGCAAATTCTCCACGGTAAATCAAAAAGCCTACACATCATGACCTTGAGAAAGTTGGGGAATGTTACCGAATTGATCCTGGTCTTGAAGCAAGGGGCCTAGTTGAAGCTGCTCTATGTCTTCGCCCCCAATGCAACACTTCATTAGCTGAGCTGTTGAGCTACTCTGTAGAGCATTCAGCTTTGTTTGGATCTGGCCAAGTTGATCATCATTGTTGCTGTAAATAGACCCGCGTTACTGCCGTCGCAATCCGATGCCTGGGAGGATTTTGGTAAGAAAATGACGACAGTACTTGGTGCTTGTACGGCATGGTATCCTCACACTCAGGCTGGCATCGCGATGATAGCGCAATAGCTGCATCTCCTAGTAAAGGCATGCATTCTAGATCAACATGAAATATTGTGAGATATTCTTGGGGCTAAAAATGACGTGCAGTATAATTCAGAGAGTGTTTTGGCTTAACCTAGAGGGATATCAAGCCCTCCTCAAGTTGAAGCCATCACATCCTCTTCTGCGGTGTTGTTTGGCACTCATGTTATCGGTTTCTTTGTAAACTTGGGTTCTTAGTGTCGATACAGGGGCCGGAAAACCAAATGGGAATACCGAGCATGTCAAAGCCGATCATGTCAACGACCAGCTTTGAACAATGGAGGCTGATGTAGGATAAGGACCCATTGGCCTGGGGGTTCATTATTAATGTTCTCTCTTTGTTTGCTTAAACGAAAATGGAATGATTCGTCGGTCATCAAAACACATAGGATCTGACTTACAACCTGTATTTGAACATAGCTGCCGGGGCCTGATGGCAACTCCGTCGGCAGAGTCAACATCCTATCTTCCTCGCAACCTTTTAAGAGTTTTGAGAAACCCTTCCGGCTGATTCAACACGTGCGACTCTAATACAAACCGAGTTTGTCCCATATACTAACCAACGTCATGAAACCCTCTCAACCTGACAACAGCGACGAAGCCCAGCACACATCCAAGCCACGACGACCACCGCCCATCCGTCCCAAACTGCAGTACCTCAACGGCCTCCCCCTCCTCTCCCCATCAAGTCCCTCCTCTCGCGCACCCCTACCGCCCGTATTCTACCGTGAGTGCACGCCGGGCAAGTGCCTGCAGTGCGCCCTCGCCAGCGCCCGGTGTGAGTTCTTCACCTCCGAGCAGAAGCTCAAATCGTCCGGGCCGTGCGGCCGCTGCAGGCGCGTCGGGGGCGTGTGCCTGGTGCGGCGGCTGCTCGAGAGTGCGGACTGGGGCCGGGACGAGATCTCGGGGGCGCAGGCGGGCGATTGGATTGCGGCGGAGACGGGAGGCGTCGGAGACGCGGATGCGGTGAGGTTGGCTGGCGAGTTGTTGGCGGAGGGGAGGCGCGGGAGGAGGAGGGATATTTGCGGGGTGGCTGTCGGAGAGGTGGATTTGAAGGGGTGGGCGTTGCCGAAGCCCTGTGAGGTTGAGGATGAAGTGGAGGAAGAGGAGGTATACTGGAAGAGACTTCTGCCGAAGAGGTTGAATGTAAAGAGAGAAAATCTTGAGGATGAGGTGTTCGAGACATGCTAGTAGTGTGCCCTCATCCAAATACCGAAGATTACCCTGCCGTTGAACACTGGCCTGTCTCCTGGTTGACGTCTCATGAAAAACGACTTTGCTGTTCTCAACTCTAAACTCAAGATTGTTGGTGTTTCGGTGTTGCCACAAGCAACATCTCTTGCCTCTCAGCAAAAGCGACTTTTTACAGCGCTGTCGATGTCTTGATTACCTTGGGCTGGCAGCAAGCCACCGGATCAAGGAATAAGAAGCCGGCAAAAGCCACTCAACCTCATCCAGCAGGAGACGGCTGCGCAAACCCCCAAGACAGCGCCTCGATCGCGGTAAACGGCAGATCCGTATCCTCCGAAGCCGCCGCAAACAACGAGTCAAAGATGGAATGCTCCTGCTCGTCACCGGCACTCGCCTGCTGCTGCTGAACCAAAGACGGCTGCTGCTGCTGCTGCACCTGGTCGCCGCCGTCCTTGCCCAGGACCGAGTTGACCAGACTCTCAAACACGTCCCGGTACGCCTGGCCCTGCGGATACCGCTCGACCATGGCCCAGATGATGGACGAGCAGTCATTGACCGTATCCACCAAATTCGGCACATTCATCTCCTCCTCCTCCCCCTGCTGCTGCTGCGGGAGAGTCGCCGCCACGCGGATGCAGTACACCAGCGCCACGCCCGCCTTGAACAGACTATGGATACACCGCCAGTAAAACCGCAGCTCGCGCGACCGGAACGACTTCTTGTAGCACGCCACGCTCTCCGTCGCATGCCGCGCCAGCGCCCCCACGTCCGCCGCGCTCAGGTCCGGGAAGTGCTGCGACGGGTAGTACACGTTCACGAACGCGTTGTGGAAGAAGCCGCCAAAGATCTGCTGCGGCATCAGCTGGCTGCTGCCGCCCGCGCAGTCCAGCGGGGGCACAGAGGCGAACCACTCGCGCAGCCGGGCGGTGATGCTCGCGCGCCAGGCGGGCTTGTCCAGTGGAGCGCCGGCGGGCTGCCGCTGCCGCAGCGTCGCGTAGATCTCGGACTCGAAGCGGCGCGCCTTGATCAGGTGCAACGCCTGCGCCCGCTGCGGGTTGCCGAGAGGCTCCGGGGGCAGCGGGGTCTCGATGGCCTCGTCCGGGATCGAGAAGGGCCGACCTAATATGACGCAGAGGTTGCGCTCGAAGGTGTACGTCGCCCAGAACACCCAGCGCCGCTCCTCGACCAGGGCCGGGTCCAGAGCGACGGCGGCGGCGGCAGAAGCGCCGTGTTGTCGTTGCTGCCGTTCGTTGTGGAGGCCCAGCTCGACGGCGAGGCGGGTCGCGAGGCCGAGGAAGTGCCACGCGGCGGTGAGGTTCGGGCTGAAGCAGCAGTACTGCACGATGAGGAGCAGGTCGACGAGGTGGTCGAGGTCGCCGGTGCAGACGGCGGCCGGGTCCTGGGAGAGCATGTGCATCGCGGCGGCGAAGTACACGTGGGACCTCTCCACGGGCACCGACGGGTCCGTTCTGTTGATGAGGAGGATCGCCGTGGCGAAGATCATGGACGCCCTGAACTTCGCCTTTGAGAGCGAGCGACTGCCACCGGGCGGTAGGTTATGCGCAGCAGCGTCGTACAGGGGCTCCATCATTGCGGCCAGATGCTCCTTTGACGGGAGGATGGGGGAGAAGAAGTCGCAGTGCTCAAAGTACGTGTCTATAAGCCGGCTGGCGGCCTCGCCCCGCGGAATGTCTATCCGCGTCTCGTACGGCAGATCCTCGAAGAGGGTGCGGTGGTCTGACCTAAGCCCGGGCCGCGAGACTTTGGTGATGGGGCCCGACAGCAGAGAGTTGAGCAGCGAGAGGCCATTGTGGTTTGCTATTGCACTGGAGAAGTGGTCTGCCCGGAGTGAGTCGAGGACAATCTGACCGACGAGGTCCTCGTCCGCCTGGCTATTGTGGCCTTGCGAAGAGGGCGAGTTGGACACGCCATGAGTGACGACCGCCGAGAAGTCTACAGAGGTTGGCGTATCATGGCTCTGGTCCCGGAGACCGTGTGACATCAACTGCGTTTCCAGCTGGGCGATGCGATCCTCCAAGCTCTTGATGTAGCTGATGTGCCGGTCTAGTTAGTTACGTGGCAACGGAATGGTGTTTCCGGAGGTGTGCGCCGGAAGGGAAGAAGGGCCGACCTTCTGGGCGCCACTCGGCCGTCAATGTCGGTGCCCACACACTCCACGCCGGCGCGCTCGCAATTGGAGCACGCCGGGATGTTCTGGTCGCACCGCTGCTTGCGAGACTTGCACCGATGACAGGCCGTTACGTTGCTCCGCCGAACGTTGGACCTCCGCTGCCCAACCGGCATCTTGAGGCTTTGATACCCTTTGACTCTTCGACCTGGAATTTGTCTACAGGTGGCACAACACGGAAGCTAAAGAGCTGCAAATGGGTATCAGTGAAACATCTTGTAAGACATGAACTTGTCTGCGTTATCCGGGGCGCATGAGGTCGGCTTTGGGGTGATGAGATCCACTTTCGCTCACCTCCGACGCCGGCAGGCGTTCCGACGTACCTGGGATCCCTGTTTTGCGGGGTCTAGGCATAGCGCAATCCTACCTTGGTCAATGAACTGATGTTTTGGTGTTAGTCTACTTTCTTTGGATGATGGTCAAGATAGTGACACTCACCTGCCAGACGCGACAATACACATGAGTTTACACAAGATTCATCACGGAGCAAGAGCATGTGGCTAAAATGTTATCTCATTTTTGACACAACTAGAAAGGAAAGCAGATCCAGTGTCTGCGAGCAAAACCTCAAAGGGTATGCAACATTCATCCGTTAGTGTCCAACGTACCGCCTCTCAGCAGGACGGCCGTAACCCTGCCATCATCCTTCCGTGGCCATCCTGGTGTGACGAGAAGAACACAATGAAAGCCAAGCTGCTATGCCGGTTCAAGGTACTGTGTTTTCCCTTCCCTGCCCTCGTGCGGACGCCAAAAAAAGAACTGCCGTGATTGTTCCGTGGCTGCGGAAGAAACACTCGCAGTTTGCAGATTCCCAACGCCAATGGAGATAATAAGAAGTAAAAAAACAGGCCTTGATGAAAAAGAAATGGTTGGAACCGATGATATGCCGGTTTGCCTTCCCCAACGCCGATGCATGAAAAGTCTGACCCGTTCTCCTGTCCGAATTCTCTTGCCATCCGAGATTCGTGTCACAGGAATCCTCCAGGCCCATGTAAAGCAGAAGTAAAAGTTCGTGGCCGTGAGGCAGAATGTGTTGTTTTAAAAGTCGTTCCAGTCAATGTGAGCCATGCTACGATTGGTGCCAGCTTCCCTTTAAGAAGCATATGAGGGCACGCTGCGCGGCGTAACATCGCCACTTCGCTTCCGCACTGGAAGCTGCATAGCCTGTTGAGATCGCGATGCCTCGGCAATCATCGCCATCTTCTTGCGGACGGTCGACAGGCGCCCAGTAATCATTTGAATCACTGCGGGTTGTTAGCTTGCTGATGGATCGCAGTAATAAGGGCAGAGAGACTTACTTCGATTAACAACCTGTTGGTCGTCACTGTCCAGATCGCTAGATACCTCGTCTCGAACAAGCTCCTTGCTCGAGGCGGAGTACCTTCGCTTGACCGTGTCCTCATCGTTGTCTAGGACAGCCTCAAGCATACGAATGGCAGTGACGTAGTAGGTAACGCAGCCTTCAAGGTTCTCGTTTGTAATCTCATCGATGGCTGCCGTACGACTCATCTCCAAGGCTCGGTCGTACATAAGCTTCTCCGCGCTGATACCAGGTGTGAGGTAGACATCCCTCGTGCCGGACGCGGTCGAGGAAGCAGACTCTCCCCCGTGGTTGCTCGGGTGGCTTGGGTGATCATCAGGGAGCTTCTGCTGGACGGCAATGAGCTTGAGCCGGACAACCTCCGTCTTCTCCAAGACTTCGTTAAAGCGGCCCCGGACCCATTGTACGGTCGAGTTGATGCGTTGTGCAAGGCTCTCCTTGGAAACCTCGGCAGCAGCAGCGCCCGTGGAGTCACCGCGAGTCTTTCGCGACCACCAGAGACTTGCAACGTCCATGGCCCTGGCAAGCAGCGTCAAAGCTTTGACATAAAGAACCAAGGCCTCTTCCGAGAGAAGGACTTCGGCCTCAATGGTGAGCCCGTCCTCCTCTCCCGTCAACTGGTCGGCAGGCGCGCCACCAAGACCGTGATCCATAGAGGGGGCAAGCGGGAAAAGCTGCTTGTATTTCACCTCAGCAAATCCATAGACGCAGTCACTGCGATGGGCGAAATCCTGAATCAGTTTCACAGCTCGAGCATCTTCGTCAACCGGTGCGCTCTGCTTGCCGTCACCAATCAGCGCAACGGGACCCGATGGTGTCGGGTACGCGGGGAATGGACTGTAGAGAGGCGGAGAGGCACCCTTGCCGCCCAGAACATGTTGTGGGACCTTGAAGCCGAACAGACGAACGCTGGCATCTGAAATCGCCTTGGCGATGAATCCTTGAGTCGTGGGGCTTGCCGAGAAGTTTTTGCTATCGTAAGAGTCACGACGATCGTGGCGTCCCTTGCCTGAGGCGATCTGCACGGCATTTGAAGGCTGCACACGGCCTGCACCTGTGGTCGAAGTCGGAGGACCCTGTTGTGTGGCGCGACGAATCATCTGCCCGGTCTTGGGTGAGAGAGAAGTCAAGCGCGGATTAGCCGCCATTTCATCTGCAAAGGCGTTCACCTCCACGTGCTTCTTCTCAACGACAACGTAGTCTCTTTCAAAGGCAACATCCTGAGCCGCCTTTTCTTGCTCCGTCATACTTCTCTCCGTGACCGGCCGCAGTTTTCTCTCATTGAGATATGAGGTCGGAGGCGACGCAGATGCGCGGGCGGCAGGTCGGTTGATGGCTGCATTTGACAGCCTGTGTGGACGAGCAGGTGCTGAGGTGGAGGGTTGTGGCATAGCGGGACGTCGAATGCCAAGTCCGTCCCCAGTTTCCTGTCCTGGTGACTGGCTTACACGAGCTGTCGCATCGGCAGCTTGCTGAGCGCGGCCTTCACTC